TAGCTTCTATATCTCTGTGTTTTTTAGTTCATTTTATGTTTTTTCTTATTTTGCTTCTTGATATAGCAGATAGCTGCCAGCTGATAAACAATAAGAAAAAAGTTTTTAGTAGGCCAAGAGCTACTGAGGCAGATCACGCCTAGTATATAAAATCATGTAGGCGAATCTTATTTTGGATGTATCTCTATAGTTATAAATAAAGTTATTGTAATTTTTAAAAGACTGATACTATAATAAATAAGACAGAACAGCTAAATTAAACAAAACAAACAAAAAATAACTTATTATAATTATTAAAATTCTTATTTATTAAATAATTATTAAATATATTTTCAAATAGGAAAGAAGATATCTATTATAGCAGTAGGAATGAGATAAGCTCTAATTTGTATAGAGGAGTTAAAAATGAATTGTAAATCATTAAATAGTTTTTAATATTGTTTGATGAGAAAGAAGATAATCTAAAAAATAGTCTCGATATTTGCTAAAACTGAATTAGAATTAAATGTAGTATAGCTTACTCCTTTTAAAAACATATTAAATTAATTATTTTATATAGTTATTTTATTATATTTTACTAGAATTACTATTTAATTAATATTAAAAAATTAATTTAAAATTTTCTATTATAATATAAAGTAATTGTCCGGAGCGTAGGAAGGACACTCTGTTTTTATGACAACAAGTGATAAATTAGTGTCACTTGATCTTGTCTGTCTGTGCCTTCTGCGTTTATGATTGGCTGCTTATACTGTATGTCCTACGTTACACTACAATCACTTTTTTTTGCTTCACAATACCAATTTTTTTATAATACCAACTTTTTTTTCTTAATATCAATTTTTATTCTGTTTTTTTTTTTTCATGCTTTCTGATCAATACTAAGTTTTACACACAACTGTTCTACTTTTACTGATACTTTCATAATTCCTGGAACACCTGCAAAAAATTTGACCAAATGATTTTTCAGCCGATCCAGTTAAGTTATTGTTCAATAAAATTGATATGTAATTTAAGATTAGGTGACTAATATAAATATGTATGAATAGGTATCTCTGGTAGAATACAGGAATATGATGCTTTCAAAGCAGCTTCGTTGGAAAATATTTGAAAAAAATTTTGAAGGCCTATCATTTCGAGAAATTGCCAAACACTTAGGTGTTAGCATATCTTCAGATCCTTTTTACATTTCTTATTAAGAGTTATAGGTTGACAAGAGCAGTCTTTTCCATAAATTTTCATACAAACTAAGCACACCAAACATGTAGAACAAGCATTTGAACGAAAATTTAAAAAAGTTGACATTATTGTTATAATGAACATAAAATTATCATTATACTAAAACAAAAATAGCTTTTATTATTTTTATTATTATACAGGATCATGCCGAAATCAATAACTTAACCAGATCAGCAGAAAACTCATTTGGTCAATTTTTATCAGGTGTTCCAGGAATTATGAAAGTAGCAGTAACTGAGTTCTAAGTGCTTCTCTACTTCTCCGATATCATAGAAATAAGCCTTTTCTCTTCATCTTTCCTTTCTCATACCCTTCTACAGTCTTTAATTCTCTGAATTCTTTCAAAACTAAATGGCTTAAAGCAAAGATTATTAAGTGCGCGGACCTTTGAGACTGCTACAAACAAATGACCCGCGGCAAACTCTTTAGCACCAAGAGAAATTGTAGCACTTTTTAATACAAGCTCTTGACTTTTGTGAATTGTAATAGCCCATGCCAGACGAATGGGAATTTGTTGCCGTGAGAGCAGTGTTCCTGATTTTCCTTCCCAGGTACGTTGAATGGATGTTATTGGAACAACTTGCGTCCCCTCTAAATTGTTAATGGTAGGGCCTTTGTAGTTTTCAAATTTTATTAAAACGGCAATGGGAAGAGAAGGCGGTCCTTGATCTCTGAATAAAATGTCATGTACAGTCCCTACTGCTCCATTAACTAAACCTGCTTCTATCCAGATATTTGCTGTCAGCATAACGTGGGCGCCTCTTGCAAGTAAGATTTGTGCTTCAAGTCCATACACTATATCAGAATCAGCTTTCTTAGCTTCATTACCGCCTGTATGTACCGCAAAAATTTTTGCAACAGGAACATTTAGTAATCTAAGCTTATCTATATTGATCGTGTTAATTTCAGACCATATTGGTGAAAGAAATATAGCATTTGAGAACTCTTTCTACTCTTCTCTTATTAGTTTATCTTCAAATCTCATGATGAATATCTTCCAATCATCCATGCTAGATTCTCCATTTTGTAGTTGTAAAAGAATTTTCCTAAAGCCTTTTTGTTCATCAGAGTTTCCAGATTGTTGTTGAACAACTTCGAGTTTATACACCTCCCGAAACTGTAGATATGTTGTATGGCCATTATTTGACAATGAATCTTGCAAACTATTGGTATACATAGGAAGGTCAAGTACAGGTGGAAGTTGAGCAAAATCACCAAACATAATAACTGATTTGCCACCAAAAGGTTTGTTATTGTGTTCTGGAAAAGCTTGCTGTAGGCGCAGATCGATCATGCCAAGTATTCGGCGTCCAATCATGCTTTTCTCATCAATAATCAAATATTTTATGTCTTTTAACTTCTCTTGCAGATTCTTTAGCTTATCACCGACTAGGTCAAGATGTCTACCGTTAACAATTGGGATGCTGAGTGCTGAGTATGTCGTCGTTCCATTGATATTGAATGCTGCAACCCCTGTTGGTACAAGTATGAGTACAGGCATTTTAGCTCAATTCCTGCCAACTCACAAAAACGATGTATTATCACTTTAATAAGATATGACTTTCCAGTCCCTGCTGTCCCTATTATGATAATTCTCAATGCCTCATCTTGCAGTCCTGAAATTATATTAACATAATGTAATTCTATTCTCTTAAAAACTGCAGTTTGATTTTCATTTAAAGTTTCATAATTTATTATTTCATCAAAACTTTCTTCTATTTGATTATTGCCACAAGCTTGTTGTATAAAATTGTCAGCATTTGCAAGATCGCTACTGGAGTATCGCTGTTTAGCATCATTAATCCAGTCATGATTCCGATCCATATCACGAGATCCTAATTCTGATGAACTAACAATATTTGCATTAGGTCCCATTTCTGCTAAGAACATCCAATTAAATCAGAATTCATTTTGCTCATCTTCCTCAAGTTCTTCATCATCATCAGTCTCCTCTTTTTTATCAAACTCTTCTTCATTTATTGGTAATCCAAGCAAGTCACTGGGGTCTGAATTAATTCCTTTCTGATACCGACTATATAAAGTTGACCACGCAATACTGTTGTTTTCAGTTAGTTGTTAGAGATCATGATGTTTTACATGAAGAATAACTTTCATTCGACAAAACTCCTCTTATTGAGGGCCATTAATTACCTCTGAAGAATGTGGAAAGATACGTACGATGTTTTCATAGTCACATTTTCTCCACATATTGTGACTAAATTTATGTGTTAAATGAAGTTTAAATAATGAGAAATTCTCAAATTCAGCAGGCTGTTCCCAGTATATCTTTAACGATGATTTTGTGATTCTTCCACCATCTTCTGACCTATTAAAATCATCATTTTCTCCATTACCTAATCTATAAAGCAACCATGGTGCTTCTTTATTAAGGTTTAAAGAAACAAATGAATGACTTGAGTGGTAAAGAGAAATGCCCAGCATAAGATGACATGTCTCTTGTGCAGAAATGTCCTGATCTATAACACTTCTTAATAATAATTTTTGTACTGAAGTAAGAAATGGATCATCAGGTTTGTTATTATGGAGATCTGGCTCAAAATCTCCGAATAGGCACGAGATTGAGGTTCTGCTTTTCTTGCATATTTAGAAACATACTGCAAAGCTGCATGAATACTCAGAATCGGTTTTAAATCGACATTCGCTCACCAACCCTGTAGCTGAAGCCGACTGTGTGGATTGATTAACAGGTTATTTCTCACAGTAACGAGTTCTGGCCTCCCATTCCTATCATTTCGAACAATGGTGTGTTCTGTGATTTCTTTCGGGTGACCAAATCTACAAGACTGTTGCCCTTCTTTGTTAATACGAAGACAGTAGGACGGACTGCATCGTGTATATCATTGCAATTTATTAATCAATTCAATATAATCCTGTAAACCATCATCAATTTCGTCATTGCGCTTCTTACAAGGATGGCAGTTAGGAACAGGTGCATCAAGTCCTGGGTTTATGGTAGTTACTAAAGAATTGAAATATTGCACTCCTTCTTTGATCATACTTTCATCCTCTCTCATTCTTGTCTATTCTATTTCAGGTGCGTTCCCCTTTTTTCCGATCCCGTGCACATGTACACTTTCCCGATGCTGCCATTCAAACCTATACCACCAATCTTCTAATTCCCATTGCTGTTTCAGCACATCATTAAAGAAGGTTTCAAATCGCTTATTGAAAAACTACGCAGCAATATGTGGATTATCTATAATGTTTTGCTGACTATTTGTTGATCCAAGTTCTTCATTAAATTGCATGATTTTATGTAGCTCAGGCCAATGAAAATCTGCAGCACTAAAAGTGAAGAACACTAAACCACGAGAACCTATGCTCTTAATCATGTCAGATAATTCACAATGACGTGCAGACCAAAATTGTCGGGATCCTTGCAAACTTTCACCATACCGCATGATTCGATCAGCTATATGCTTATCACCTTGAGCAATCTTCTCTTGAATATCTGCAACTATAAGCTGCGCATCATTTAAACTTTGTCTAACGTAAACTTTTCCATCTTGTAGCGCTCTCCATCTCATCTGAGAATTCAACGCAAAATATCTCCAGCGAGCATGTTGTGCAAACCTTCCATACTTATACTGAAGTAGATGTTTGAAATACTCTGCCGGTTTAACATCTCTAGCTCGTTCTGCACGAAGATCACTATTTCCTGTTGGATATAATGTCGGGAATGCCCGTGCAATGTACCCTTGCGTTTGGAACTTGTTAACAGGATTATTATCAATTTGTTGCTATGCTATAGCGCCATTCTCACTTTGCATGCGATTTAGGGTATTCATAATTGCATCATCTTCACGCTGAGCTGAGGGAAGAGAGTACGGGTTATTATTTCATCTTCATTGTCATCATCTAAATTATCAGAAATTGTTTTAAGCTGCTTATCAATAGGACTGTTGATAGGCAAAGATTGAATAATTTCATCATCAATCGCAATGTCTTTATAGAAGCAGTTATTTGCCTTCAACCACTGCAGTGAACTAGCAACCTTTTCACGCCAAACATTAAAATCCTTGAATGATTCTGAATTTTCTGATTGACGCCACACAATAAGTACATTCAACGAAGATGGATTTCGTGGAAGACGAGTAGTGAACTCTCGTACGTCCTAAGGGAAATTTATAACGTTACCATGATATCCAAGTTGGCCTCCACGAAGTCTATAGACCGACATCACTGGAAATACTTGCGCTATCAGCATTTCTTCTATTTTAGTCAAACCTTTAAGTTCTTCAGGTACCTCCCCCAGATCCATATTATTTTCTGCTGAGAATTTTTTTGGCATAGTTTTCTCATTGTAACACTGACGACATTTACCTTTAACCAGCACTATTGACGGAAAGTACTCCTTACATACTGTGCAAAGGTTGTGTTTAAGCTTATCCATTTTATTTCGAAACTTTTTTAGTTGATCCTGATCTGATTCAGTAAGGACGCTAGCAGAGATTTCATCATTATTTGTTGCTGCAGTATTCATACTATTCTGATTTTGGCTACAACCTTCTTGAGGATCATTATTTTGATTTAAATGCGTTTCAGTTACTCTTGAATTTTGATTATTTTTTTCATGGTAAATGCGCTGACATTTCAGTCGTTCTTCGTGTTGTTCATTAGTCTCTAACGCTCTTTTTTTTTGTTTTCTTTCATGATCACGTGCGAGACGCGCTTCACGCTCTTCCGTGGTTTCTAATGCTCTTTTCTGACGTTTCCTTTCCTGATCACGCGCAAGATGCGTTTCACGCTGTTCAGGTGTCTCATCATCTCTCATTTTACGCATTCGTTGAACCTTAAGAGAAGTTGATTGAGTTTCCATTTAATAGCTTTAAAACTCTTGTCTATACACGTATCGTTTTTACTAATATTGTGAGTTATTTACAAGTTACTCTTGTTATGCTAACTTCGATATAAGTAATCTGAAAAAATTTTATATAAAAATTCACTCGCTTTAGTTGACTCTCTACTTAGTAAAGAAAATTACTGAACTCGATCGCTTCACTATAAAGAAAAGTGTGTATATAATTTGAATATCTTTCCTTATTGGTAATTTACCGATTTTATCACACCATTAAAACATTAAGAATAAAAAAATTTAGACTAATCTTTGCAACTTCATGTATATCACGTATATCACACAATCCTAATTCTATGAATGAGGTTCTATAATTAGACCCAAAGAATCTTATTTACTTTATACTTCGCATAGTAAAAATACTACAATCTGCCCTCTCTAAGTTCACTGATTATGGATATTCTCAAGCTTCTAAATCAATCATCGTGATGATGCTCAAGCTTCAAATTTTATGCCGATATTTATAGAATTAAACGCTTAGCATACTTTTTCTGTTTTTCATAATGTTCACTATACTATCTAAACTGTTAAAGTTTTTATATAACCTCTGGGCAAGTACT